CTTGGACTTTTCAGCAATGCTGAAACTGTTGGGACTTTGGCAAGTCTCAGAGATGGACTAAAATGCCTTTTGGACAAAGGAATGTGCATGAGACTTTGGGGATCCAGGGGCAAAATGTTATGGTTTGTGTCTAGTTGTCCCCCACCCCACCCCCCAAGCCACTGTAAGTTACTGGGCAGACGCAGCTGGAGGAGCAACAAGTGGCTTGAGGGGCGGGGCCAGAGAACCAGTGTGGGGCCAGAGAGGGGTGAACCCTTAAACTGGCTAGCCTGTGCTTTCTTGGAGGTTTGGCGAGGGTCATCCTGGACACGCCAGCACCCCAGCCTCTCCTCCAGTGTCTTAAAACCTCCAGGAACTGTGAGTTAAATAAGCCTTTCCTTCCCTCATTTTTAGTGTTGGGTATTTGTCCCAGCAACAACAGAAGAGTAACTGATACAATCTATAAGTATTTTGGTGGAGATTTTGGGTCTTCTATGTAGAGAATCATGCCATCTGCAAATAATGAGAATTTAACTACCTAATGATAATGTAACTGACTAAAGTTAAAATGGATCAGAGATCCAAATATTAAAACAGAAACACTAAATCTGCTGGAAGAAAGAACAGGCAGAATTTTCTTAAATTTTATTTTTATTTTTTATTTTATTGAAAAACAAATAGCAATGAGACAGTTTCAAAAGTGATTAGTAGGACAGTTTCATTAATACATTGCAAACCACTAAGACAAAAATATACAATATTAATTATTGAAACTGTGCTAGTAATCAGTTTTGAAACTGTCTCATTGCTATTTGTTTCTCAATAAAATTATTTTAAAAAATACATTGCATATGGTTTTCTTCGTAGTGGTTATTCATAGTATAAGATGCAGACATATCCTGTGCAAACACTGTTAGTACAAATCTTCTTTTCATTGAATTAAGAGAAAGTGTAGCTGTATATCTACTATTTTATATATACAGATACAAAATGGTCCTTCATTTGTATCCCCTTTTTCGTTTAGTTTTGTCAGAGATGAGTATTCCATTGCCCAATTTAAATATAGTAGATGCGTGAATTCAGCAAAATAATCCAATATAGTCCAGTAGTCCATAATAGTAGTGGGTTATCTGTAGGACTGGCAATGTCAGAAGTTGTTGACTTGAGCTCTTTATAGCTCAGCATATTAATATAGCTTTACTTTTCATACCTTGTTATTATACTTTTCTGCTGGATGGTTAAGACCAAAATAAAGCAAGACCAAAATAACAAGAAATGTAACTTTTGTATCTGACAAGGTCAGTCAAATCCCCTCAGGATTTATCCTGAAACCCTGTACCACAGGTTGCAGATCCTTTGTCAGTGTCAGCCATGTGGATGAGTCACGACCATTACTTTACCAATTTGCTCTCTGTGAAAGTCTGAGAGAATGTTTTCTCTCCATGTGACTCTCCTTAGGCACATTCTACATCATTGATCACTTCCCTCTGTGGCCCCATAATCTCCTTGATCAGAAAATTTGGGACACCACTGAGTTACAGGTTGTTATAGTACAAGTTCTCTTATGTCCTAAGTCCTCACTGACCTTGAAAGGCTAGGGCCAAAATGTTGGCTGTCCTTGTAGCCCTTCTTTTTCTCTGATTTTTGGTCCACAAACTTAAGTTGTTAACCCTCCAGAAGAGAAGCTTAATGATATTTTCACCCTATAGCATAGGCAGGTGAGCTTAACCTCACTATCTGTCTGCATATCAAACATTTTAGACATAGCATGGAACAAGTATTTTCTTTTTTTTTTTTTTTTTTTTTTTTGGTGGAACTGGGGATTGAACTCAGACCCTTGCGCTTGCCAGCGAAGCGCTTACTCTACTGAGCCATCTCCTAGGTCCCCAAGTATTTTCAATCAAGTAATGATATGTTAAACTTTAAATCTCTACAGAACGTGAAGAAAAGAAATAAAATATTTTTAAAAATTGGAATAAACAATTACATATGTTTACACAGAAATTTGGAAATCTAACCATATACAGCATTGTAATTAAACAGTGAAGAGCACAAGGAGAAAAGCTAGGAAACTTGACAGGGGCAAAACCGTACATTTATAAGCACAAGATGGGCAAGGCCATGATCCTGAGACTCTTCAGCAGGTTTTTGAAACTAGCAGTTAATTGGTAGGATTCTCACCCTGA